GATTAACTAACAATCCCATGAAACACCATAGGATGATTCTCTACATAAGGTTCAATTACATTGCAGACAATTAGCGAGGCCAATGCGCATCGCTACAATTCCAATTCAAGTATAAATAATTAAAGAAGAATTAAATCCGTTGCTCCTTTCCTTTCTAAACTCCATTACGTTTTCTTCCATTAATTGCATTTATTCGCCACTTATTAGATTACTGCCTGACCATTATTATGGATTAACGGAAGTGGAACATGGCGAACCGAAAAATTGTATAAGTAAACGGGGGGTTTCGTTCCGAATCAAATGGATTCAATGGTTCAGTTTCAATTCCATCGTTCATATATATTTCTTTTTTTTAGGTCACTTCCATTTCTTTCCAACATCCATTTGATTTGTGTGACGTCAATGCGTGTACTGTATATGGAACAATGCCGGAATGTATATGACAATAAACGGATAGAACGTAATATAAATCAGCAATTCTGCGTGACTAACTAACTCGATCCAAAGCAATTATTCATTTTATTCTTTCTTTTTGTATCACCTTATTCACCTCGATTCATTTCAATACATTTAGATCTTAATTGAATTGAATACATAGCGATCCGTGGCAATGTTTTATACCTATTGTGAATGAAAATACTAAAAAAAGAAAATTTAATGTTTACAGTTACAGCAATACCTCGCATAGTGCGGCTTCTATTAGTGCGGATTAACTATAGTACAGTTTAAAAATTTCAAAACAAACTAAATTTTAATTAGTAAAATAAATTCTAAAAAAAAGTTCACAATATAATATTTTATACATAAATTATTTGAAAGCCCTCGATTATTGCGGTTTTAAACAGTGCGGGATATTGGCGGAACCGATTACCCGCACTATGAGAGGTATTTCTTATAATATAGATTTAAATAATCTTTTTTTCAGATGTTTTTATGGTTGTTAAGATTACTAATATAAAATTATAATTAGAAAAATGAATAATTAGAAGGAAGCAAGTATCGTTATAGCTTTGATTCAATTTAAATTATACTCAAATATTATGCAGATATGGAAATGATAAATGTTATTAAATATTATTTATAATACAAAATTTATGGGTACATTATGATCAAAAGTATATCAACTAAGGTGTTTCAGCACATATGAATGTTATTGAGTGTTAGCAAAAAAACTTCAAACATTTTCTCACGCTTTATTGTAGAGTAAAAATAAAATGAAGACAATCTGCACTAATCATTTGAATACTTTTTAAAGAAAAGGGGAAGAGGACTCATGAATATAAACTGGTTAGACAAGAATTGTTGTGATCTTAACCCATTCATATTTACAAACCAAAAAAGTGTATGGCCTTTAAATGTCAATTATGTGGTTGAAAATCGTCCCCACTTATTCATTGTATACGAATTGTTTTCAATAGAAACGAGAAGTATATTTCTGTGAGAAAATATTTCTATGTTTTGTTTACAAACAAAAAAATGATTCTGTTGCAAAAATGACTAAGTCAAGTATGAAAACCAATAATTTTGTAGTTTGAAATTGTTGAACTAGGAAAATATATGAAAGTTTTGTTTTGAATTTTTGAAAATGATTGATCTTGTTGTTATTAAATAATTAATCCAAATTAAATTAAATTTTAATTAAAATAAGCATAGGTGTCCATCTTATATTTGACAGCTATGAAACTTGAAGTAGAATTAGTATTTGTATAATCATATATGTAAGATTCTTGTTTTTTATATCAAAAATGTAGTAAATCCTTCATAATAAAAATGTTTTGTTTTAATTTAAGTCCTGAAATAATTATTTAAAAAATATTTAATTACAAGACTAAAATAATGCGACTAATAAATTATATTAGATAATTTTATAGTATTATTCTGTAGTTGATACATTTGTATATCACATAAACCATTATTAAACACTGAATAGCAAAGTTAATTTCAAAATTACTTTCCAGTCATATCGAAGTGACACAAGGAGACACTCATTATCAAACAAACAGATATGCTTTATAACTTGAAACAATTTTAAAAACGTCATGACCTTGTTTTTGTATTTCTTGGATTTAGTGTGTTTTGTCCATTAACGTGATTCACTTATAGAAGCGAAACTCGTCGAGAAGCTCTAAAACTACGATAAATGAATACAAGAAGAAAACTTCCATTGTTAGGAAATGCTTGATAACAAATCATTAAACTGTAGAGGTTTGCTAAAAGCAAAAACATTCCACAAACTAAAGACTTATTGTTTAATAATACCGAGTTAGTATAATAAATCCATATTTACAAATCTGTTGATTGTTAACCTGAATATTCAGCATTTTGCAACTTGATTATTCTAAATTTGGATTCGAGAATTGGCGATACGATGAACGAAAGTGAATTTATTCAAAAATTCCAATCGCCGATGACCGAAGTAGGTAACACTCCCTGGGTCTGACTACGTGGGATTTTTGTGTAATGGGTAAAATTTACATAAATCGAATTTCGTTTTCTTTCTTTAAAGGCAACAGCAACGAATCGATATAGAAAAAAAAAAAAACAACAAATTAAATTCTACTTGCGATTTCGATATAAAAATTTCTAAATTTATATTTATTTGTTTGTCCAGTTTATAAATATTATATAAATATTTAAAACTAAACCCTATTTGTTAGGTATATTCGATAATACGTACATAATTATTAAAACAATATCGGTTTAGAAAAAATGCATAAGATAACGTATTACAAGTGTACATATGAATGTAAAGTACGTTATCGCGAACATAAAGACATTGCACAATAATAAAACATATTAAATCGTGTTATATCACGTTTATCACGAGTGCATAAGATAAGTGTACGTTTCTATGAATATAAAGTACGTAAGTGCGAACTAAAATACTTTCAATAACAATAAAATAAATCTTAACTCGTGCAGTTATATTACCGTTTTATTAAAGTACATTCGTTTAACGTACATAAATTGAGCATTTGGTACAGTTATATAAACGAGTAAATCAATTATTTAAACAGCAATAAAAATGCAAGTTTGTTTCTAAAAGTATAATCGAGAGTTACTGTATAAAAGATCCGTTATGTTAAGGTTTGTATGAATCTTATGTATCTTGATAGATCTTGCATAAATAAACTATATGCTTCGTGTAATCTCCAAAGTAGATTTATTCGTTCCATAAGTGCAGTATATCGAAGTATTTCAGAAATTCCAATAAAGAGTCTACACACAAACTGTGAACCTCATTCCACAGTACGTCCATAGTGTTGCTTCTGTCCTTTCGAAACTAATTACAACCGGTATGTAGCGACTTGAACAAGAAAAAATAATCAAAAGTCCAATTAAATTTGATTCAAAGCCATAAAATCCGGTAATTATCAACTTATTCATATACAATATTTATCCGGTACGGGACTTTTTTTCCTGCGACTGGATAAGTTGTCCATTGGAATGGAATCCGTGGTTTTGAAACACATATCGAAAACCTGTTTCCTTTTTGTGCTGTCCCAACAATTCTAAGCGCACGTATGAAAAGAGAATCTCGATGAAATGAATGCAATTATTTCAGAAACAACAACAGAAGAAGCAGAAACAAACAACTAAGAAATAAGCGGTTTCATTAAGCAATAAATCAAACGGCCGGATGCGTTTTTAATAAATTTTCATGAAAATAACTAGTCTACATGTATGGGAGGACGATAAATCTTGCAGCAAACGAAATTCATGCCGCGGAGGAAGTCGTGGAATCTTAATTGAAGTGCAAGTGCCATTAAATTTATGAAATATTAAATTGAAATACTTCGAGCGACGGGCTTTATTAAACTGCAGCGAAATTATAGGTTAATGTCAAAACTATTCCGATAAATTCAAGATGAATAATAAGGGTATAGTATATTGCAATTTTATATAATTTAGAACACTGCTCGTTAAATAAGTGATTAAAGGCAATGGTGCATTAATTAATATCACTATATAATTATACATATATTAATGGCTATAGTAGTCAGCACTCACTTTACGTACATATGCCAACGGCAAAGTGTACGTTCGTGCGAACAAATAAATGTCTGAACCAAAATAGACATAATCATGTAATAAATAACGTAATCACAGTCGTTTTATATATTTTTATCGATACATATTTTACAGACTAAAATATTACTGAATTCTCGAAACAATATACTTGTGATAATAATTTAAATTTCGCATGTCGACGGATTCTAAGAATAACCTCAAATGGAATTCGATCTGTTTTCTGTCGAAACAAATATTTTGCATTAAGTTACAGCAACAACATAATTCGACAAATATAAACAAAAGATCAATTTTCAACTTCTGATTCACGCTGTTATCAGTATTATTTAAAACAAATAATTTAAAAGTAAAGTAATCGAGATCTATATCAGATAAAATATATGGTTGCATAACAAAGTTGAATGAATCATACGATTTCCAGAAACATATTGAAGTGTGTTCCAAGATGAAATTTTTTGAAGTAGTTCTTGTTATTGGTTATAAAAGAGCAAATCAAGGGGTGAACTCAGGATCAATATTTGCACCTGCCGTGTCGATTTCATCATAAACTTCAATATAAAATTTTTCATTTTGAACATGGAAACGTCTTATCGTGAATCGGGGCGAACGAATAAAAAGGGTCACATGCACAAAAGTATCTGCGACTTTCTAGGCGCTTCCTTTCTCGGAGCGAGTGAAATGTGGCCGCAAGTGCACTTCCTTTTTAACTCGCATTTAAATGAAAACGGGGGGAACTGACCTAAACATTAAATGGGGGAGCGATCGTCCGTTTCAATTGACGCAAACTCTAAAATTGCTTGAGAGTCCCCATTGAAGCCATCCATTGTGATAAGCAAAAATGCGGTCGTCGGAACGAGTTTTCTCGGAGCGGATGTCGCGGAGCATCTTGTATGCATGTACGTACGTATGTATGTACGAAGGAGAGAGTACGAAGAACGGGTTTAAGTATGTAAGCTTGATGTCATTACCTTGGGCTTTTTCGTTTTTTGACTAAGACTAGAACGGCCGTCGATGAGAATGTTGTCGTTGATGAAGCTCACATCACAAGGACTCGGAGGACCTTCCAGCGATCGGAGCTCCTCCTCGTAGTCCACAAATGCCTCATCAATCGACGCTCCTGGTAATATCGTGATTCCTCCTTCACCAGTCTGAAATAATAAAAAAAAAAGCAATGCGTAATTGTTATAATAACATCGTGATATAAACATATAACAAAGTGTACGTTGGTATGAACGTGTTGAAACCGAGAAACACGTGTATAGAAATAAATGCATTTATATAATAGCCCGATTAAAGTACTTGCGCATTAATTCATTGTCTATTTGAAACCATATTAATTAGATTTGTATTCGAAATATATAATATTCATTTACTGAATTGAATAATTTTAAATAAGTACGTAAATATAAGTAGATATGTACGTTCATATGAATATTTATACGTTGGTGTGAATGAAGAGGCAGGTGATATAAATGTATGCATGTATCAGTTCTAATAATTCTATTTATGTACTTTTACTAAGGTACTAATGTGTGAAATATACAAGAACTTTGAGGAAAATATAAGTAAATAATTCAAAAGTCTAATTCAAATATGTACGCAAATACAATTATATAATGCTGAAATGCGACGGTTAAGTGTACGCTGTTATGAACGTCGAGTACGTTTGTGCGAATAAAGAGACTTATGTTAAAAAAAAACGAATGCAATTTCAATTAAGAAATATAAAATTTGAGTGTAAATTAGTGTTGTAATGATTGCGAACTATCTGAAAAAATAATAGTAAGAATAAAATTGAGAACATGAAAGCGCAACTGTAACTTGGATGCATTTGATGCACACACATCACAGAAAATAAGGAGCGATCCAATTATTACTCGACGTACTATTGTTTTAACAACTTCCTAGCCTTCCGCTCACTAAATCCTCCCAATTATTAACGCATCGCATACAAAATAATTGCTATTATAATAATCATCATAATCATAAAAAGCACCGTAAAAACAACTCAACGGTAATCAAAAACGCCTTGATCCAACGAAGAATTCGAAACGCGTTTATAACTGGAAACAGCAAAATTCGCTCTTTATCATTATCAGTAAACGGAATACTTATCGTGGCCGCAGAATGCGGTTTGATAACAGCACGTCCGAACCACCATGATGATACACTTTCTACATTTGAGCTACATTTTGCAATTGAATACTAGCAATATTAACAACAACAATTGGCGCTGCTATTATTTAGAACAACGAAATAATAAATAAATGGTCGCAATTACGCTCAATAAAAACTTACATTAAATAGAAATCTATATTTTATATTATCCAACTGTTCATCTCAATTTATATAATTTTAATATACAGTCGATTCCGCCTAATCGGGATATTTTTCCCGATTAATAGACTGGCCCAATTATACGAAGTTACATCGAGCAAATGATTTTGTTTTCGTTTTTTATAATTTATGTAAATAAGCGGCTGTCCCGATTAACCGGTTAAGGACATTAAGTCGGAATCTACTGTAATAATAATAATATGTATTGAAGCAGATCAAAATATAAACTCAATATAATAATACCAATATATAAATAAAAAAGGTAACTGCTTCAAATGGCTATTGGCCATAGGTCTTTCTGCCCTAATCTACTGTAAAATTCGCATCACCAAACATAAATATGACAAAAGGAAAACATATTATGTGCAAAACATGCAATTTATTTTTTGGCTTAATATTTACAAAAGTATGGGTTGTCACAATTAAAACATCTAAACTCATTATTACTCATTTCAAATATTAAACCAATCAGTGGTCATAATGATGAGTATAAGTACCTATGATCTAATAGATATGTGTATTTGATTATGAATTAATTGTAACAAAAGTTAAGAAACGAGGCAAAAAGTAACTAATCTTTAGATTTATTACTAACGTAAATTTGTTCAATGTGTCGCAAAATGACAGTTGTCACCATGTATCAAAGCCGAGAAAATAGACAAAATAATCTTAGCAATTGGGTCGCAGTACAACAGCAAACAAATATTTTGGGTCACGCGGCTAAAAGGTTGAGAAACGCTGCTTCAGACCAGTATAGTATATTTGGGGATCGCAAATTAATTACAGATTAATCTTCGTTGTTTTTCTACACATACCTATTCTTCAAGAGGTCGCAGAAACTTTTTATGTCCAAAAGAAAGTCGTAGACCAAAAAGTTTGAGAATCACTGCTTTAGACTATACACTTCCTCATAATATAAAAGTAAATAAAATTATGGAGAAAACATCTTAAGGTCATTAGTAATATGCAATTAATATAGCATAATATTTGCAAACAATGATTCCATCAAGCAACGCATAAATATTCAAGTGATATATTCATTTACTGAATATTTACATATAAAATAAATATTTACTTACTAATTCAAAATTGAAGGTAAACTCTTTATACATTTGATGATTAATTTATTGCATTATTAATAATAATTAGTTTAGCAAATTTTGCATTCTTTGCATAATATATACAGAACACTAATCAAGAACTTTTTAAACAGCATAAATATGCACAGCACAAAGAGACTTGACCATAAGACGAAAAAAAGATCAATGATGATGTATAATTGTCTAGAATTTATTTTAATTCTGTTCAATTAAAATTTAGTTTCAAATCGTACTATAGTGAATCCGCACTGATAGAAGCCGCACTATATAAGGTATTGTATATATATATATAAATTCAGATTTCTTGCTCACATTCTTATAAACTACAAATTTATATATAAAAAGTCAAATAAATTATTTGAAGAATAACATGTATTTCGGATGGTATAGTTTTTGCAGTTGACCCCAATTAATTTTTGCATATAAATGTTCTTTCGTGCAGTGCGTATAGATAATCATAATTATTTCTATCTAAATAAAAAATCTGCATTGAATAGAAATTGCTATTTCGTGTGCAACAATTGTGTGTGTTCTCAATTCTTTCATCTCACGTAAATAAATTAATAAGTAAAATTCAATAATTATTTTTTCATTTAGAGTGGAGAAAATAAAACGTTGAAAATAAAAGCTAATATATTTATTTCACATAATAATTTTGTATAAATATATTTTTTGAACCAAATCAAATTAATGCATAATAAAATTGAACTAATAAGCAATCTTCGAATAACACGGTACTTGAGTTACACGAAGTATCAAAAAACACGGTCAAAGAAATATATTTAGACGTAGTATTTATTAAGTGATTCTGTTTTAGTTTATCATTTTTACTATTATTGATTAGTGCTATAATTACAGAAATACATGACAGTGCGGTTAAACCGGATTAATCGAAGAATTAAATATGTATGTATATTCTAATTTAATACAAACAAATACAAACTTTAAAAAATGATATTTTTATATTGATCCCAAGTAACAGAACATAATAAATACACTTAGAAGCAAGCATATTTTTAGAAAAATGTATGATGAATTTAGACCATTTAAGAAAGCTGCACCTAGAGAACGTTTTCCTTTGAAATAGTGAAGCTGATATAAATGTATATATACCACAGTGGCTTTGAGGATGTCATCAATATCAGTTTTCATGATTCCTGTTTGTAAGAATTTATGATCTGTACATAAATATCAAGCATAAATGGACATTGAATATTCAATTATTTAAATCATTTAAATATCTGTTTTGAATTATTGATTTTTAAATTTTTATTGAAATTAAGAAATATTTTTAAATAACAATCAATAATTTATATTGAAAGTATACAAAGTTTATCAACTTTAATACTTGAAGAAACGCACACGGATTTAGTGTTAATTAAAAGATATATTGTTATTATACAGCATTGTCTAATCAATTAATATTTATGACACAGATTTTAGATTGCGTCTGGAATTTCTGTTTATCCCGCTACGGCTTTTAAGTGTCTGATCAGAGGTGTCCTGCAGACCAACCCACGGCACTTAATGGATGTATGCTAACTAACCGTTAACCATAAAGTATATTCAAAAGAAAAGAAACACATATTCAAACAAACTCCGTATTGGTTGATCATTAATGCAAACGATATTTATATCTTTTCGATCGAAACGACGTGCCTTCAACTTTGTTTGTTTACTTCCGATGCCCTAGTCTGGATACATTTAAACTGATCCAAGTTTGGATTAAAAATAACGCGTTTGGAATTAAAATAAACAAACTTTCCTAAACACACAATCAAAGCTTCAAGTAATCGGATGAGCAATAATCAAAATAAAAGATATCTTTAACCAATTTGTAATTAGTTACAATAATATCTCGAGTATAATACGCATATTTTGTGCTCATTTTAGCATCCACAAACAAGTACAAAAGTAATTTAAAATAAAAAAATGCGTCTTGTAGTTCGAAAAATACGGTATATTTATTCCAAATTTAAAAATATTTAACTTGTTTACTTATTATTACCTGGCACATTAAGCCTTATTGCTTATAATTATGTAATACACTTGATAAGATCTACATAAATTAGTATCATATCAGGATTAGAGCAATTTCCATAATCAATTCCACACAGAGTTCCAGTTAGGGTTTATAGAAAAACTCACTGTTTAAAAACCGGTTTTCTAATTTTTCCCAAAAAATAGAGTCAAAAGGATTTTCACAAGTTAAATAACTTTATACAAAAAGCCGCTTTTAGTTGAAAAAACCTGGTTATCGAATTTTACAAATTTCTTCAAAAGAAAAAACGTCTATTCCACGTTAAAACTATATAAACCGTATTTTTCGGTCTATAAGACTCATTTTTATTATGAAATCCTATACATCAAAGTAGTAAATTACTGCGTCTTATACACCGTAAAACAGTTATTTTATATAGTAACAGTAGAAAATACGATAAAACTAAAACTTTGGTTTAATCGAAAATGTGCCTTGAACCAGCATACATGAATGGATGAGCAAATCGTCGACCTTAATTAATGCAATTAATCTCGACGCGGAGAAGCCACTCATCGGAATTAGAATGCAACTCCAACTGAAGCCACTTAATTGCTACACGCTTCTTACGTAACCTTTTCGAAGATAGAGAAGAAAAAACATCCACATACTAGACTCGCCTAATGCTCTTTTCTCGCGTTATTCCAACGACACTTTTTTTCCTCTGTCTCTGCGTAGCCAGTTTTGTGGGTTCCCTTACCTACCGAATAATCCGCGATTAGCACACTTAAATCCATTCCAAATAAAGTGGAACGGATCCAGCATTGATTGCACAACGATTTTGAAGAGAAAAATAAATTAAAAAAAAAGAAACACTCATCTTGCATTTCCTTTACTTAGTATCAATAAGATTTCGAAATCGAAGATTATTAATTGCGCCGGATTAAAATAAATGTATGTTATTTTTTTGTACAGATTTTTTTTGCTGTTCACAAACTTGCATTCATATAAATCCGAATGTGTGCTTCGAGTTCCGGTGACTTCAAAAGCTGAAATAGAGCGCGACGGGATTTCATTTATGTATTTATTTATTTATCTATCATTATCCGCGAATAAAATGCGTGGAATTGCAGTTACGTTTGCTTGCTTTCGCGGTGAGAGTTTTCGAAGACACCTCGGGCTTCGCCACGCCATCGGTAGTCCAGTTCTTCGGAATTGTTGGCTGCAAAATGCGTATTTCTTTTGCTGTAACGGTACATGCTTTTCCGTTTCGTTTCGTTGGAATATTTACAGTAAATCGATTCCTCTGCCGATCGAAGAGAAGTACAGAAATATAACAACAAACAAACAAAGTGTATATGCAAATAATGGTTTCGCACTTTCCAACGGGAATTTCTTTGCGCAACGATATTTATTACAGCTCGATCCCCATTTTCCATTTGTTAATAAACTACACTTTATTATTTCCTTTCTTAGTGATTCTCAGATATTATTCCTCCCTCGACAGTTACAAATAGCTTGAAATTAGTTCGCGTGTCGTGTGGCTTGGAACGCGTCATCGCGTTTTCAGGGAAAGTATAGTCACGGAAAAAAGCTCTTGAGGTTTCAGTTCAAACTTCGTGACGTTTATGGAAATATCGATTATTGAATTAAGTAAATATTGATAAATCCTTGAATGTGAAGTTCGCAAATATTTGGGCACGACATTGATTCGATGCGATGCTTGCAGATAGAGGAAATAGAAGAAAATGGTTGTTATGCACAAGAGCGTGTCCAAACGAAAGTCTTCCGATTTAAATGAAACGTGAACGTGCGGGAATTCGAAAATAGTCCGATACGTGCTTCAATAGCATAAACATTGCACCAGCTTCGATCGACGACGAAGACGAACTGCAGACAGTATAAAAAAAATAAAAACAGCGGCAAGGTGACTCTGCGAAATGTCACATGATTCATAGCGGCTGCTCTTTCACTTTCGTAGATTCCCCCCAAATCCGATGATGACATTTCGCAAACGCAATTCCTATTATTTTTTCCTGCTCAGATAAGATTACATTTCAGAAATATTGGGACTTTTATACGCAACCTTTAAAAGTTGCGTCAATAATAATTTTTAATAAATCATCAATTTCATCATAGATTAGACACTGATTCTATTAGAAACAATTAGAGAAGATAACTAAGGCATTCCCGGGAATTCTCGAGATTTGTGAAATTATTTATAAATATAGTGTAAAAAATATTTTATTTTATATTGCACGAAATACAAAAATGAACTGATAATTACTGGTTCTTTTTTATGAACTTCATATTGATCCCGTTTTGTAGGAGATTGAATGTTTTGCAATACCATTAAGGCTGTATTACATCTGAAATTTCTCAAGTCTTGAATGATAATTCCCTAGTATCACGACTATACATTTTTACAAAATTCCCGGGAAATTTGTCCCGGTTCAGCAACCCTAGTTACTACCAACATCAACTAACTGTATATTATTGTTCTTAATGAACTAAAGATTGTAACAAAATCATCTTTTAGTTACAATTTTAAATAATAATTGTTATTTTTATTATATTTATAATACCTATCTTTATTGCAGTCATTAATAAAACTTTGCAAACAAAAGATAATAAAAATTGTTTATTATCAATAGTTTGATTTCTATTTATTATTTTTATCTGTGTCTAATGCTTCTGTTAAGCATAGTGATATCATTTATCTTATTTTCAATATTCTCAAATAAAAGTAGCAATCATTATTGTTAGACGCTGTCAATTGCAAAGATTTATATATTAAGTTCAAGTTGTTAATCTTTTTAAGTAGAAAAAATAACTAAATTTGGTATATATCTTATTGTTATGTATTAACAAATAGTTTAATTAAATGTTTTTTTCTATATTAATAAAAAACCATATTTTAACTATTATTAATATTAAATATCAAGTAGTCGTACCAAGCAACTCTTGTATTCAAAATTCGAAGAACAGTGAGTCAATTATTCAATTACATAAAACATGTTTAAGCATTGGAAATAAACGTTTTTCCCGGATTTATCTTACGAATTAATCTTTGTATTACATTTAAAATATCAATAGAAAGCATATAAGATTTAAGTTAAAACAACGTTACAATAAACTGTTGAACTAGTGCATTATAAATTTATACTTTCCATATTAAGAAAAGGCACGATATAATAAACTGGGTTTCGCTTTGTTTTCATGATTTAATGATTCACGTCTGACAATTTCAATTGCTTTATAAATGCACATAATTAAATAAATTAACATAAACAATATGATTCTTATTTCTAAGTTTTTTTTTAATTTTGTAGATATAAATGCTGATTATCAATTATTTTTCCTTTATATCGACATACTATTACAATAATGCATTCATTGTTTTTTTTTAAATTAATATTGAAAACAAAAATATCAATGTGCAATAGTAATCTAGGATTTGAATTTACAAATGTTTGATAATTTAACTTGTTTTTAAATGATTATTGTACAACATAGTTTCTCCATGTTTAAAAAAAATACTAATGTCATTGGTACACTGCAAACGTTGATAGTTACAGTGTATTGCTTTAAACGATTATATGTGTGTAAATAGCTTATCAACTTCCTGTGGAATGTTATGGTCTTGCGGATTTGCATGTATGTTGTTTAATAATAGGTAGTATGAGTTTACTGGAATGTAACTTACTTTAGGTTTTTCGATTTTCCCGGTGCGGATGGTGCCGTCATTTCCAACGTAGTCGGGTACATCTTTCCGATCTGTGAATTTGAACACGATACAGTTCTGCTGATCATCCTGTTTGGGGCGCGCGGCGCGTTTCAGCTTAGGCTCGCACTTGGCGGGTGCTGCAGAGACGACGGCAGTGGGTGCGACCGTATCCTCGCGAATTATCACTTGTTGCGCGGGGACAGGAGGTTTCTGCTGGTTGGATTTGCTCGCGTTGATGAAGTTCTTCTCGATCTCACGTGGAGACAGCTTGAATCGTTTTTCGGTCTGCGGATGATGGACAGGCTCGATCTCTAGTTTGAGTGGCTGTGTAGCCGGCGTTGGCTTGATGAAGTTGAAGGTGATTGAGTTGCTAGCATTGCTGATGTTTCTTTGGCTTTCGGGGGAGATAGTCTTATGGGTCTCCTCCTCGAGGTCGGCCTGTTGCGGAGGCGGCGTCGATGGTTTCGCGTGTATGGGACTAGAGTGGAGGATCAAGTCCGGGGTTTGAGTGAGACTAGAGGTGTTTTCTGGGTTGTCCGTTTGCTCGGCGTTGGTCATGGAGACATCCGGAATGGGGCTCGGCAGAGGCTTCTTCGGCGGTGGCGTTGAAGGTTTGGTGATGGGCAGACGAGCTGGAGGCGGAGGTTTCCTCTTGTCCACTTGCGGCTTCTGCTTAAGAGTCGGCTTCGTGCTTGCCTTCGTCTGGATGATGATACTCTTGAAGTTGGCCACTTTAGCGGCTACATCTCCGGTATGTTGAGGAGGCTTAGTGCGGCACTCAGGTCGTGTCTCGAAGATCTTCTTCGCCTGCTTCACGACATCGGCTGGTGGTTTTTCCTTTTCGTTCATGACTGGGGCTATCCGTTTCGGGCGGTTAACGCGACTCGTGTACTTGTTTTCTGCTGGTTCGAACAACTGGTTGCTGCTATCTGGGGACTTCCTGTAAGGCTTATCAGTGGCTTCCTTGTCGATAATGAACACATCTTCGTGTAGAAGCAGGGACTTGGGGCGTTCTGCAGTTGTGGTTATGTTGTTGGGCTCGTTGGTACGAGTTGAAGATATCGTCTCGACGGAACGGGCCCTCTTCATTTCGGAGCCTCGCACAGGGTTCCTGTAGCGGTTGGGGACGTTCTTCGCGTTACCGTTCATCCGCGATTCGAACTTACGATTGTTTTCCTCCTCGATTGGGTGGTCATCATCTAGCATATTCTCCAGCGAGGCCGCCTTCCTCATATGCAGAATGGTCGGGCGGCTCTTCTGGCTGGCTTCCCGTAGTGTCAAACTTAGATATCTATTCTTAAGCTTGCTGACGATGCCGGGGCCGTACTGGAGCTCCTCGGAGGAGTCCGAGTCGACACCGCTCTTCTCGTTGATGATAGTTTCTGGCACCATGTCGACGCTGATTTGCTTGTGATCCACCCAGGTTCGCTCCTGTACCATTTTTCTCAAGAAGCACGTGCTCGATCCACAATCCTTAACACATGTTTGTCCGCACGAAGAATCACTGGCGCAGACCGCGGATACACTGCCGCTAACCGAAGAAGTCGCAGTAGGTTGATGGCCTGCACAGCCGACCGAGACCGAAGCGGCAATAGCTGAAGCACCAGAGGCAGGGGACCGAAGTACGCTCGACAGCTGTTCTCCTCCACCAATACTGGATGCCGGATGATTTTTGCTGCCCGTCGATCTCCGACGCATTATCAAATCCTTCTTCCACTGAGGCACAATCGATTCGTTATCAACCGCAGCCATATCTACAATCTCCGATAGATAGATATATATCTATATATACCTATTTAATATAAAATACACATATTATTTATAAACATATTTAAAAGAAGGTATATAGCTCACCTCGTTCGCACCACGAATTCGGGATAAAAGCATACACTAACGAAACGATCCACCAATCATGCAGGCACCATGAACCGACGATGAATCACACAGCAGCATCAACTGTAACGCACATAACTAACTGATGTATGGGGTGTACTTTGCGTCTTAGCGTCCCTATCGCGATCGGAACGTCCTTATCTTAAAGACTAGAACCACACGTAGTGATCGCATAATAATCTACTTTCTACTGAACCACCGTTCGGAATTGGAAAAATATTTATATGTATGTATATCTGCGAGCGTGTGTGTAGTATATATGTGTATAAATTATGAACGTGAGCGGTAGGTAAATAACGAGAGTGACGCAATGAACAACAGCGAAACTGGAAATTGCAGAGGTTGAATGGAAGGATCGTAGGCCGCTGACGGTCTGTCAGCAATCATTCAACAGCGGCATCTGCAAGTACGCGCAAAGCCACCACCCTTCTACTTGCAGCGTGACAGTTACTAAGGGTGTCAGGCCTGCCTGGGCTCGACCACTTTCGGCGCTCGCTGCGCCCGACAACAAGTGCCTATCATTGATTATCAACACTCCCGAATGCCTCCGAAAATTGCGCCTCTCTGTCTTTGACATCTAACAGCACGTGCTTTTTCACTGTCCCTTTCGTGCGTAACGCTTAACCCTTTCACAATAAGATGGCGCCAACATTCAACAACAATTAACCGCCAACAGCTTACCACTTCTTGTATGCAACATACCTTGCATAACTGCATATATATTGCATATATTAACACCATATATTTTTGTGTTTTTTTACAGCAGTGTTTCTTAAAGGTAAAATAATAATTAAATAACTAACTGAATTGGACGCAAATAAGAAGAAATTTTATTCTATATTTTAGAAATATCAGCGAGTATAATCACATGCATAATTTATTTAGAAACAATTTAAGTGGACTTTAAATAATACTTTAAATGTTATAATCATTGATCTATTGATGTTTATATTCGAAAACGTATTTTTTGATTCAACAAGAAACAATTTATTTAATTGAAACAGTTTTTCTTCATGGCGAAGAACTGCCTGGTTTAATATTTACAATTACAATAAACTTTAATTAGAAGTATTTATTTTGTAAATTTCTTAGTTTTGTGTACTAAATTTATTGAATATTTTTATAACTTGTACGAAATATTTGATTGAAAGTCCGGAAATGGAATGCAATGGTTTGGGTCAAGTATATTTATGTTGAAACTCAAGAGCATTTTCAAATATTTCAAAATATATTCTATTCAATTTTTCATATTTAAGGTTGTTAAGGACTTTACGATGTAATCTATGAAAATTTTTATAAATTTCATCAAAAATTTGTTAACAGTTTTGAAAGCATCAATTGTTTGAAATTGAAAGGTTTATAAGAGTTGCGCGTTATTGAAATTATACTTAATTTTGCTAACTTATGAATTACCAATTAATAACAAATATGACTAGTAATTAGTAAAATGTAAAAAAGTATAATTGGTCAAGTATAACTAATATATAAGAAAACAAGATCTTTGGGATAAGAACTATAACTAATGTAAAATTCTTTTAAATATATATAGAGTATTTACATTTAAATATATTCCAATTGTCATACCATATACATGAGTTGTAATTGATATAGAAAGAAGTTATCATTATTTTACTGAATCTGAATGAATATTATTTTTATTCCTTTTTCAATTTTGAAGGTCGTAACCTAAACATTTATTGATCGGATTATTGTTAGAGTATCCTGGCACATTTCCATCTGCTTCCCATTATGATAGTTGCATTCAAGCATAATTGATGGGCTAACTTTAAATTGACGTAGTTCCATGAAGTCATCCAAAATAAAATTATTCAAAATTTATTTCAAGTTTAATTATTATTCAGGGATATCTTACGATTATACTACCCAATTTGATAAAATGTTAGAATTAAATGTATTTACTTACAAAAATATTTTTTTTGCATCTTTCGTATACAAATAATTAACGATGATGATTTTAATGTGTCTTCGTTTAACACAGTTTAATTTATCGCTTGTCGTTGGGAAACGCATCCTAACTTATTATGTTCGAAAGAATGTTTATCATTTTCTTTACAAAGGATCGTATCTGGCCATAGTATTTTTTACCTCTGAAAACGAAGTTTCATTTAACAAAGTAATTTCGTCGAACACATCCTATTCGTTAATCGAGGTATGACTGTATTATTGAATGATATACTGAAGTTTTACTTCTAAAATTTAAAAAGAGTCTGAAAGAAATTAAATATTTATGAAGTATAAACTTTCACTGGATATTTGATTTGCGTAATTACTCAAATATTTGCATCTATGATTGAACTTTGTAACTTTGTATTTAACGCTTAATATTTTGAAGTACATTCATTTAATTACCTTTATAGATAACGTATACTAATTAAAAAATCTATTTGATGTTTATTGCATATTTGAGGATGAAATGATACAAAGTAGAGCGAAGAAGATGGATGGTTAATGTGAGAATATCCCATGTTATCATATACAGAGTTTTGTTTTAAAAGGAATTAGTGAAAGACGCCTAAAGTTATATAATGATAAAGTGCGAAGCCCGGAAATGCGTGTTATATTGCGATACTAGTTCTGTGTTCTTTACTAAAGCTAATAAAGCTCTAAATGTATGTATTTGGGTCAAAGTTCGTTAAAAAGTAATTTTGGAAAAAAAAATATGTTAAACGTCAAAAGTTTGATACAGATTTATACAATATTTTGACCGGATTTTCGATCATGTTTTTGTGAATAATAATATTTTTATTATGTTTTTACATGAATAACAAACTACATACAAAATTAAATTAAAAAAATGTATTTTACAAACTATGTCTTTTACGGAAGGATTTATGATACAAAATATAGTTTTTTTTAGTAAAAGATTTTGAATATATTGAAAGAAGTATTACGTATGACAATTTTATTTATACAAATCACAGAGTAAGTTATATATAATTTAATGTTCAAAAGATATACACATTTGGTAATATGTAGTAAAATCCAGGGGAATTTGCTGCAAATCCCGGGACAAGATTGATGATTACGATAGGAATTACTAGAAACAAAATTTTATCACTAATGATGCTAAAAATATAAGTTTTTCAATTACAAAAAATTGATGCAAAGATCCATTTTTAAGATATTATTCACTATCTATTCTTACTAGTAAAATGCGGTGCATTTATCTAGAAAGGAGTTTTTTTTAACTTTTTTAATTATGTAATTAAAAATTATTAAAATGCTCTATAATACCAATCAAAATAAAATATTCCGATTCCCGGGAAACCCCGAGATTTTATGAAAAACTTTGAGAACAGTATCCACTAGTATTATACCATTCAATGTATATTCCTGAATGGTTTAATACAACAGATCGTAGTTTAAATGCTACTTTAACAAATTTTAATTAAGATTTGTTTAATAGAATTTATGAACATTTATTAATAGACAATAAAAAAAAACAATTTGTTCTTATATTTATAATACCAAGCAAAATAAAATATCCCGATTCCCGGGAAATCCCGAGATTTTATGAAAAACTTTGAAAACAGTACCCACTAGTATTATACCATTCAATGTATATTCCTGAAGGGTTTAATACAATATATTGTAGTTTAAATGCTACTTTAACAAATTTTAATTAAGATTTGTTTAATAGAATTTATGAACATTTATTAATAGATGTAAAACTATTTGACTTTTACTTTAAAGTACATATAATGTAAATTTATTATGCGTTATATGTTGAATTGATTTATTCGAATTAATTAGGTAATACTAGTATACATTACTTTTGTAATATAGCGTTGGATGTTTTTATTTATTGCCTACGAGATTTAAAATAAAACAAAGCTATCTAAACACTAACATAAACTACAATAAATTAGATAGAAGCAGAAATGAACAAACGCTGTAAATCATATTTTGATTTATTGAAACACGATTCGAACAAACGGCATAAAACAGTTCTCTAAAGTGCATATATACAACATTCCACAAATAAAAGCACGAAATGATCATGAGGCATGCAATAGTTCTGTTGCTTTTTATAGTGTTGCGTTGCATTTACATGATTTCGCAATTACCAGCAGACACGAAATTCTTAATTAACTTATGTAAATTATAATAAAACATAATTCTTCTTAAACAACTTGCGAACATTTCGTTACACACTAGCATCTAGGAATTTGGTATGCAAAATTTGCCTGGGGACGTAATCAAATGCACGTTGAACAATAGCCAATCTGAAGCTTCGCTCCAGAAACAGGAGGTTTGGACCGACGATGGGGTTATTAAGATATGAAATATTAATTTGTTTTTAGGTAAATGTACTTCCTGCAGCTATGAAAACAAAGGCTGCAGAATAAGTAATAAAAGGGCTGCACTGTGTGTATATTGATTCGAATAGCTGCAGCGCATTTCAATTGATGCTCTAAAAAAGGTCTATTAATTAGAGGAAGCGTTGAGGAATGAACCGATTGTGTTTCATAAAAAGAGGGAGCACTTTGATATCTCACCGCGATGCGTAGATGAAAGAGAATGCAAATGCTGTTTGTCGTTTCTAGCTGCACATGATCCCTGAATAAATGAAGGGCAAAAGAGAAGGCGCTTTATTTCAAATATATTTAGCATTTAGACGGTGCACAATAGGAAGTTCTGGCTATTACGCTCTACTGAAGTTGACTTGTTTGTATGTCCTTTAAGTAGCTGTTTCATTGGGATGAGCATTCGTTGTCAAAGACATTTTAAATAGCAAAAAATTAAAAGCATTTTCCTACGTGGATCCTACAAAGGATATTCAAATATACAAAATAAGTTTACTTTGATAATTACAATTATTAAAAACTATAAAAGTTATTGACTTTTTGTCTCAAATAAAACTATTTTTGATTATTGTAACTCAGGACTATTTATTATTTTTTTTTAGATAATTAGGTATAATGAGACATAATATATAGTAATTTATAAAGTAGACAAAAAGTAGACCTGTGTGAAAATAATTGAATTTGTCCAAGTAAAAAGTTGCAACTTTTTACATGGAGGACTCACCCAAATTTAAATTTGAGTGAGTAAGAATAGATACCTAATATCTTAAAAATGGATCTTTCCATCATAAAATTGTCTTACATAATACTTCTCTCAATATATTCAAAATCTTTTACTAAAAAAATACTATATTTTGTATGATAAATCGTTCCGTGAAAGTACAAACTATGTACTTTTGATTTAATTTTATATGTATTTTGTTATTCATGTAAAAACATAATAAAAATATTATTATTCACAAAAATATGAGCGAAAATCCGGTCAAAATATTTGTATAAATCTGTCTCAAACTTTTGACGTTTAACAATTTTTTTTTCCAAAATTACTTTTTAACAAACTTTGACCCAAATACATACATTTAGAGCTTTATTAGCTTCAGTAAAGGACACAGAACTAGTATCGCAATATAACACGCATTTCCGGACTTTGCACTTTATCATTATATAACTTTAGGCGTCTTTCACTAATTCCTTTTAAAACAAAACTCTGTATACAATAACATA